AAAGGTATAAATGAATAACTCACCCGGAGCAGCAGCGACGTGAACCAGAGACAACTGAGAACTTTACACTTCAGCATGTTTGATCCTCCGTCAGGTCCTCACACGGAACAAACGCCACCATAATCCTGAGGCCGAGGCGGAAGACCAGCGTTCGTATTCACCAATGGAGGCAGAAGGTATTCCTTAGTTCTGTCTCTGAGGGCTTCAGAAGAATCCGGAAGAAGTTTGGGAACGAAACAGCTGGAAAACAATAAATCTCTTTTGGAAAGTTCTCATTTCCCGTGGTCTCATCTCCGTCTCGTGTCCATCCTCAACTCAGACCTCCCTCTCAGTCTGTCCTCCCTTTTCTCTGGACTCCCCCCCGCCCTGTCTGTCTCTCTCTTCCTGTCTGTCTCTCGGTTCAGACTCTATAGTGTCGAGGTTTGGGAGTCACTTAACGGACTTCCTCAATTGACCCGACAGCTCTGAGAGTCGCTGTGAAGACACGAAACCACCAAACGCTGCTGTGATGGAGGCTATAAATAGCTCATCCAGACGCTCTAAATGTTAAAAATAGAGACGAGCGTTTGTTGAGACGAGAACCTCAAAGTTTCATCTTCTTCTTTTTGTGACAGAGACGTCTTCTTGATGTGGATTCATCTCTTTTAGGCTGTAAATTTAGTTTTTTCTCCACATTAAATCCCAATTTTTTTGCAATAATTTTTCTGAAGAAGCATTAAAAAGTACAAATGTTTATTATTATTGTTGAACTAATTGACTTTGAGTGATAGTGACAATCAACACCAAAATATAACTTTTAGCCACTTTAAGCTAATAGTTTTAGCTTTTTTTACCCACAAGCCAAAACAAATTGTATAAAAATGATTAATTGTTCACTAACGTTAACACATAATTATTAGTGTTGAACTTCACATCTCATGAAGTCTTAGAAAACAGAAAAGTAGAGCAGCATAGTTGATAATGTTCAGTATTAAAACCTGTAAAGATATTAATTACTTAACGTCGTCTCAACATATCAAGTTATTTTCTCACGATTACGTTATTTTAGGTTTGGAGTCGACTCTTCTATTCAAGTTAAAAGTCAAACTGTTTTGTTTCAGTTGGTCGGAGCTACTTTTAGTCCTCCACACCTCTTTCCTTCCTTCCTTCCTCCCCTCCTCTCTCTCTCTCTTTGTTCCTCTCTCTCTAACTTTACGTCACACTTCATTTCTAGGAACAAAAGTAAAAAAGTTGCAAACCTCACTTTCATATTTTGTTGATGTTTCTTTTTTATCCGTTTTTGTGAAAATATGACTTTACTTACATATAAAACTACATATTCTGAGAGGAATCAGCTCCACCAGAGGCTGCGATAAGAAGTGGAAACATTCGCCATTTTAACAAAGTTAAACTTAAAAATACTTTGTGAGTATGAGAAACAAACAAGCTTTGTTTCATCTTTAGCTAAATCTGGATTTCACTGTAGAATTATTTGGTTAATTATCAGTCAGTCAGAGTCCAAAACAACACGAGTCAGAAGGGTTTATGTCCAGTGTTTTATGTACAGATTACAGGTAACAATATATATATATGTACAGTCCCTGACAAAAGTCTTGTCGCTTGGGTACAAGTTGACCTTAAGTGCCCCTCAAATATATTTGTAATCAATTTTTTTTTTTTTACAAGAAATGGCTAATTTCAATCCCAACAGCTTTTGAAATAATGTTTTGGTGCGAAACGAAACTGCTGAAAAGCATTCTAACGTTCACAGCTTGGTAAAGCCCACTGAGTCAGTTTTTGCAAAGACAAAAGTCTTGTCGCCTTGTCATATGATGCACCCGATCCTAGATTACAGCCTCACCTGTGATCAATAATTGATCAATCAATT